CCATTTATCCTTTCTTCATAATCTGGTAGTAGTGGCAAAGTCATTGGTTTGACATTTTTTGCGATTGATTATACTTAATTTCAACATATTGTTGTGACGTAATATGACTATATAGAGAAATTATAATCAAAATTAAATTTTTAATTAATATGTAATTATCTTAGTTCAATTATAATTTTAGGTGTATAAACATGGCTTTCATAAAAGCCTCTTAGGTTATTTTCTTATCTTAATAGTTAATAAGTTGAAAGTTGGTTAGTAATTTTACCTTCTAGATTGTAGAGACACTTCTACTACCTTAAAAAGCCCATAAATTGATAAAATCAGGTTAAAAGAGGTAAATAATTAATATAGTTGGTACTAGGATTAAGTTGAAAGTAGGGTTGGACTAAAAAATCTTTAGGATAGGTTAAATTGATACCCGGGGGTCGGCCATTTGTGAGACAAGGTTGAAATCAGACCTCTCACCACAAAAATGACGGCCTAGGGCAAAATAAGGATTCACTCAAAGATCGAAGGATAGTATTTGAGAGCTAGCTTGAAGTTCTTTCTAGAGACATAAGGATTTTTTTTGGAAGGTTTTTGAAAATTGAGAAATTGTTCAAAGTCAGGGTTTGTATTGGTGATTTGGGTTTTATAGAATATAACTAGGGATAGCAATTTTGGCTAGTTCATGTAATTAGTCTCACATCTATGGTTGAAAATTTGGTACTATTTGGATTATTAGGTGTGCTAAGTGTATACAAAATTTTGTGATAATCTAATGGCGTGCTTTAGAGATATCTAGTTTTTAGTGTAAGAGGGTTTTGGAAGTTGGCAGTTTAAGGTTGGGTAGGATTTTTGTGATATATGGAGATCAATGAAATGGATTAAGGTGAAATTTTGCATGGTATTGAAGGACTTGAAGATCAAATTGCACACCAATTTTGAGTCAAAGTTAATGGTTGGAAAGGGAGAAATCACTACTGGGATTTCTACTTCACTTTTTAAGTTGGTGGCCAAGTGACATCAGTGCAAATTTCGGAGGTTTTCTCACAATTTATAAGTTGGATTGGGCTAAAAATTCTTGAGCATATAGAAGACTTACATTGACTATTGCATGCAAAATTCCACATCAAGTGGACGGTCGGATTGGATGTTATAGCTTATGAAAGCTCACTAATTATAGTTGGGGCTTATAAGAAAAATCTAAATTACTTAAATATGAAAGTAACAAGATAATTGGGATTTATGTATGATTAAGGCTAATAAGAAGAGTATTTTTAGCACTTTTGAATTGAAATTCAAATTATATTCTTCTTGTATGGATGAAACCTATTAGGATTCTTGAATTCTTGTGAAACACAACCTCACCTTCCACAGTTAGGTGCCTGATGCATTCCCAAGGAAGACAACACATAATATGATAATATACCTCTTGGCAATTTAAATTTTCTATAAATCTATAGATTTCATCATAAAATTCTTTAGAACATACATTAATACATTTATTCTCTCCTTGCAATCTATCTTGCGACAAATAATTTAATTTTCCCAAGATATCTGCAAATGCCACTTCTTCAAATGTTCCTAAAATAAATTCATTTTCAATCAATTCTCCATTTTTTTTTTCCAATTTTTGCTCAATATTTTTAACATATTGTTTATCCATCTTCTTCATCTTATCAATATTCTTAAAAGATAATACACAATTTGGTGTCAACTCAATCAGCCTAGTAAATAATATTTTCTTTTTATACTTAGAGGGAGCATCTTTTTTCTTAACCCATTGCAATCTTGTTTTATAATGGTGTGGTGAAAATCCCTCACATGTTCACCTCTAAATTCTCTAGTAACCTTTGGCAAAGGTTGCTCTCTCAAACTCCCACAATTTTTGTCATGATTAGCACATACTGTCCAAAATTGCATCATTTTTGTTCTATCTTGATTCCAAGCATATGTCAATCTATTGTCCTTAATCTTTGTTTCCATGCAAGTAGCCGTAATATAAGGTTTTTTTAGAATGATAGGATAAGTAGACATATCTTGCACAAAGAAGTTTTTCTCATCACTAATATCTCCTATTATAACCTATTATATTGAGAAAAGACATCCTTCTAGAGTGGATCTCACTGAAAACTTAAGACATATGTGCCCTAAGGTCATGGTCGAATGTCTCAGCTGTGGGGCAAAGATCCCAATGAAGTCCAGCCTGAGCGATGCCTTGAGGGTAGTATATTCATCCCTGTATCTCCATCAGTATTTCCTGCTTTCCAGGCTTGTAATTCGTGTCCTGCCTTATCCCCAGTCCAGATAGGTGCATAAACTTTCTTCTGGGTGATAAGTATATTGACTGATGCCGAACATTTGCACTGTTTAGCCAGGCTGGTCCTCGCATCTGCATTGGCATCAAATCGGCGGCCTTGCATATGAAGATGGCCACGGCAGATTTTTATGTCGGTTGTCAAGTTCAGAATTGATGCGTGGTCACCCTGTGGATTGCCAACCGACCGCCAACTTTTCCATACAAAAAAGAACTGCACTGGGTAGAGAGAAGGCAATGTTTAAATAAATGTGTCCCTCGTTTGTTTCTACCCCGCCTTCATCACAATAACAAACTTCGTGTGTATCAGAATTAGTTCGGAGTTATGAAATTTGTATCTTCAAGCACAAAAATAGTTCGTGAAAATCTAACAAATTTTTATTTTATTTATTTAATTATTAATAACTTGAATGTGAATACTAGATAATGCTCTCCAGCTTGTAAATGTCCATTGTTTATATTTTCAATATTTATGTATACGTGCCATTCATTATACGTATATTGAAAATATTTATGTATACGTGCCATATACAAAAGCATTATTAATTGTTGATTCAGGGTAATTTAAAATTAGCATATGCTTGGAAGACAACATATACTAAATAATCCGTACACGGGTTTAGGAACTTACCTCTCAACTGCAATACATCGGAGCAAAAGATGGATAGCAGAATAAAAAAGGTGGTTTACGGTGTGTGCTATACCAAAGCTATCAGAACTAGGGAATTAATTATAGGGGACTCCCATTGAATTTACTGTGAAGGGAAACACTTGAACCTATGACAAACATAGATGAGGATGCAATACAAGCTAATCTTATCAAAGTCCTCTAATACTTAATTACAGCTGGATCATATTTGCTAAAAATGAAATAATGAATTTATAGAACCAGAATGTCCGGGAAAAAATACGATTCTAACATTATCTGACATTGCCAACGAAGAAGCTTAATCATTCTAAGCATTCTAGGTAATGCTGATCTTGACCAATGTCAATGCTTCGACCTACACAAATAGTCTACAATAAATACCTGCTTTCAATTACCAACTAAAAAAAAAAAAATCCAGTGGGAGACACAACAGCAAATGAATTCAGAAGCCCTCAATATCCGTTCTGAGACAACAACACAGATATGTATATGTACACGATTATTCGTCTGATAACCAACATCCGTTCTATCGAGATTGTGAAGAATCAACGAGGTGCTTAAGAGTGCAAGGCATCTTGTTCCACATATTCGGTTAGCACAAATTTTTAGAAGTCAGCCTCATGAAAGATAAATCAAAAGAAACAGCAGGAACCACTTACGTTAATTGTCAAGAACTCACACTTCCCAACATCTTCCACATCCCACCACCAGCATTCGCAGGTTGATGGAAGACGTTACGAGCCCACCTCATGTAATGTGGGCCACAAAGCCGACAACCCTCATCTGACAAAGCAATGCCCCAAGACAATCTGTACAAAAGGGATCAATGCCATCATGTAACCGTGCCATAAAAAAGATCTTCCAACTTGACTCATTCAAACCCTGCGATTCCATATATCCTTGTAATCAACCAGGTGTCAGACAACGACATCACAGCCAGCACGCGCAATAAAAAGTAGGCCACAACTATATTCCAAGCATAATCGAGTAGCTGACAAATGCAAACCAACGAACTTACCCCAAACGGCTTACTACGGCAGTACCCTGAAACCGTCAAATTTTCCAAGGAAACTATAACAAAGAAATGTGTGTATTTATATGAATGCTCCACAGGCTTGAAATTTTCAAACTACATTGTACATAGGACCAACCAGCAAAACTAAGGATCAATGTGTCTTCCTAAACCAACTAGAAGTACATCGAGGATTCCTTCCAACAAGAAGACCTACTGCAACTGATCAAGCTCAACAATGTCTGCACCACATATCACTTCCACCTCCTCCGTCTCCTACTCTCCATTACCCATCCCCCCTTCCACCCTCCATTCCAATCATCACCATCCACATCCACAACTCTCTGCACGCCAAAATGTAATTCTCCAATAAATATAACCATAGCACCACCTCGTCCCTAAATCTGTTCAGAATCTAGTGATTACCGTATCTCTCTCCATGGTGCACATCTTAACCATGTAGTCTCCACTACTTTACTACACAACAGAGTTCTGAAAAAATCAAGTGGTATCGGACATTCCAATTCCTACGCAACCAAAATAAACACAGAAGACCGCCTCCTACCCACTGCTTCCTCTAACTCTCGGCCCTCCCCCTCCTCCCCTACCCCTTCTCCTACACCACACCTACTGGCAGGTCACTCCATTCCCATCCGACCACTCGATCGGCTCCTCGCCGCCTGTGGCTCCACATTTCTGGACCATGGTCATGCAGCCAAAATCCTGCCGCCTTTACTTTAACACTAGGTCGACACGCCTGCGCCCATCCCAACACAATCCCATCGTCAGCCCCGCAACACAAATCCCGCCACAAATCACCCTCCCACCACCACTTCCTTCACGCATCGCACGCACCTACTACCCGCCCCACATCTCTACCCATCATGCGCTACCTCGACACCGCTCTTACCACTACTCTCCACCATCTAAGCACCCC